AAGTGCTTATTTTTTTTTTCTGTTAAAAAGTTTATTTTCGATAATAATATATATATATATATATATATATATATATATATATATATATATATATACATCCATTTATTTGATCATCATATCAGTTGAAGGACTGGTTTACTTTTTTTTCTCCAGAGATTTCAAGTGTACATGATACACATGTATACATCACTTAATGTTTACATTGTACACTTTATGTTCATTTGTTCAATTTATGTTTTACATTTGTTTCTCTCATTTTCTATGCCAATATAACTTTCACTATTCACCTGAGAAGTTCATTACTTCTTTCAATGCATTTTTAGAAATATAACGTAATTATGTAATTTAAGCAAACGCACATTATTCAATATTTCAAGAAATTTATTTAAATCGTACTTATTTTCAATAATATATCTATCTTTCAGGTATTGATAATAAAGAACGTACTAAAATGCCTCGGTTTTTTTGTTTTCTGAGTGGAGATTACTACTAAAATTGTTAATTTTCATTGTTCAATGTTCGATAGTATTGAAAATTGAATTTATTTAAGAAGCAGCTTTGTAAAGATGAACAATACATTATCATAAGAAAACATACACTGACTGATCGCTGTCAATGATATAATATTAATTTGTATTGCATGGTTTTTGGCAAAACAGCCTAACATTGATGAAAACGAGAAAGATTTTAGCGAATAAATTTGTTTTCGGCGATATCATTTTCTTAGAATGTGCATAATTAATCGTAAAAAATGTAATGGTGGCTCTTTAAATAGTAATTCTTAGTAGGTTGTAGTCGGAAAAACAATATACTAGTGGTAGTTTCGTGAGAAGCATGCAAATATTTGACGGTATGACTAAGTAAGTTTGAGTTGAAATCAAGAATCGGGGAATTCATAGAGAAGGAAGCAGCAAGTTTTGTTACTGACCACAGATATACGAAATTTATAACTAAGCTAACAACAAAAATAGAAAAGAAGGTTAAATGCGATTAACAACTAGTATTATTAGTTATCTTTTGAGTTCCTAGAGGAACATAAAGCTTCAGTTGCACGTCTCCATTTCACTCTCTTCTCTACAATCTTCTCTTTCAATCTGGCTCCACGACTGCTCACAAGCTCTCATTTCTACCTCACACCATCTCCATGTCACCCTCACCTCAGAAGACCAACTTGTCATTTCCCATCAATCTTCCACTCGAGTGCCTGACGCGTGATGTCACCGAATGGTCTTCCAAGTGCATGCCCAATTCATCTCCACTTCCTTCCAGTGCATATTCAGTGAGCGAAAGGTTCTTGGTTGGTTCTTTGCCAGCCAGAGTTCATTGTTGCTTATTCTTATTATTCTGTCCATCTGATCTTCAATAATGAGCATAGGCAGTTGTTGATGAATATCTGTAGTTTCTTGGAAATCCATTTTATAAGGCCCAAAGTCTCTCAATCATACAGAAGCACTGACTTGACGTTGGTGTTGGAAATCCGGATGTTGTTCACGCTTTATGCTGAGTGCAGTGCATGAGATCTCCACACTGGTTTCAGGTTAATGAAAGCCTGTCTCGCTGTCTTTCCAATCCTGTCTGGCTTCAACGTCCTCATCTGTGCCTGTGTCGCTTGTATCTGAAACGATGATGCCTAGATAGGTGAAGGAGGCTACTTGCTTTAAGTTTCTCCCGTTGATGGTGATTGGAGCTTGTTGTTGCTGTTGTTCTTGATTGAGTATCTTCATCACCCTGTCTTCTCTACGTTCACTTGAAGTCCCATCTTCGCTGCTTCACCTCTTCTATCAACTTGTTGTATTTTGCCTGTAGATCTTCAAGTTTGTGTGACATTAGACATAAACCATCGGTGAAATCCAAATCTTCTGCGTTCTTTTACACGGTCCAGCGTATCCCCCTCTTCTCGCTAAAATAAACGTAAGTATGATCCAACTTTACTAGATCAAGAATACAGAAACGCACTGTTTGTGCTTCGAAGTTTCGTTAGCAGTTTAATTGGTTTTACGGGGTAGGGTTGCTAGCCTTACGCCCAACTTTCCCTCTTTCCCCGGGGCTTAGGACCGGCTAGTAACTAGTGAACTAGTTAGCCAATCAGAATAGCACCAAATTACCAGAGTAACGAAAAATAATAATCACATTCTCTTTACTGATATTGAAAGATTTAAACAGCGTAGTGAGAAGACAAAGATTATGTAAAACACGTATCGCATCAGCGCTGTACATCCCGAGAAATCTGATTACAGAGAGACAAAATAAACGTAAAACCTCGCACACAAGTGCATCCCTTCAATTTACCACACTTCACAGTCGCACACAAAAAGTAGGTGGATAAAAAGTAAGTGATATCAAAGAAGATAAGGTAGTGTGAGATAGAGGTTAGTATACTGGCTTTAGAAGATGTCGAAGAGGGAATGCATCTACGCCATCATGACCAATTTTCAGCCATGTCACCAATAGTGCTCAACGACAGAGTTTTATTGTCACGGAAACCCTGGCCACGTAGTCTAGCTCTCCCCACACGACTCAAATCAACAATCAGGAACTTCATGGACTGGTATAACATCTTGATTTGCCCACCCTGAACCACCTTTCAACCTAATCCAACTTCTCTTAGTATGGATTGTCGAGATAGGCTGTGGTGACTTGTCGAACTATTTATATGAAAATTTATGACAAAGGTCAATTAAGTCAATAGGAAACATAAGAGTAGGAAAGGGTAGAATAAAACCAATGAAATCAATACTACTAAGGCAGGTTCAACGTGAGTACAAATTATTTCTGTATACATAAATGGGGTTTAAACTTCTTAGTGACCAAAGCGTCAGCAAATTTAAACACTAGGCTCTGACAACTTTTATATAATACTTTAAAGGTTGTTTTCATGTGTACACTTTGGAAACTGATAAATATGAACGTTTCGCCGATGATGATTTATGTCTAATGTCGTACAAACTTGAAGATCTTCAAGCGAAAACCAACAGGTTAGCAGAAGAGGCAGGGCAGCAAAGACGACATTTCCTTCAGGTGAAGGTAGAGAAGATAGAGGTGATGAAAATACCAAACCAACAACAACAACAAGCACCAATCAACATGAAGGGGAGAAATATAAAGGATGTAGTCTCTTTCACCTACCCACCTACCAACCTGAGCAGGCAGCATCGTCTCAACTACAGACGGCGCAGGCACAAATGAGGATGTCAAAGACAGCCAGGATCGGAAAGACATCAAGACAGGCATTCCTATACCAATTTGAAATAATCAGTGTGGAGATCGACTGCACTCCACTGCACTGCACTGCAGTCAGCATAAGGTGTGAACAAGATTCCGATTTTCAACACTACTGATGTCAGTCAAGTCAGTGCTTCTATGCGACGGTTGTAAGACTTGACGTATTACGATAAGCTCTTCCAACAAACTGTAGACATACATCATGTGAACAGCTGACACCTAAGCTCAGTCGATACTGAAGGTCGATCAAATGGTCGGAATAATAAGAATAAGCAACAAGGAAATCTGGCTGGCTGGCTGGCTGGCAACGAATCAACCAACCAAGAACCTATCGTCCAACAAATATGCAGAGGAAAGTGGAGATGGATTAGATTGGATATACACTGAGAAGACCATTTGGGTACATCACGCGTCAGGCCGTCAAGTGGAAGCTAGATGGGAAACGACGAGTTGGGTATCCGAGGTGAGGGTGACATGGAGGAGATGGTGTGAGGAACAAATGAAAGCTTGAGGGCAGTTGTGGAGCCGAGTTCAAAAGACTTCAGAGAAGAGAGCGAAATGGAGACATGCGATTGAAGCCCTATATTCTACTAGAAAACCAAAGGACAAGTAATAATGATCATAATAGTAATCAACGTTTTTCACCTACACTTATCAAATCTATTGAGGCTATTTGTTGTTGAAGCAAGTTGGTTAAATATTCAACCAGCCTTAACTGAATATCATGATTACTCCTCCCTATGTATGTGTATCCACACATGCATGTAAATTGATAAACACAGTGGGATATAATGCAACTGTTTATATGTTGTTTTGATTTGTGTTGTAACCTGGACTTTGTCTTCTCTACAATGATGACCTTGACTGTTTAATATGTTTTACAGATGGCTGATCTAAGCCATTTTCTCACAATAAAGCTATGTAAAACATCTCTCAATGGTAATGAGACGTAGACATTTCTTTTAGGAACAAAACAGTGTACACTTTTAGTCGCTAAGTATTTTTGTACCTGTTGGTAAATTTTAGCAGATAATCATTGTGTATCACTGTTTTCGTCAGCAACTTGGTTTCATCTTCTTTCGTGTCATTGGTGCAGATACAATCTATCCTTTTGACTAAGCATCTAACTAAACCATGTTTATATTGAAATGGATAACTATTATTTATTATTATTTGTCCCTTGGGTCGCTAGTGGAACATATGAGCTTCAGTAGCACGCCTACATTTCACTCTGTTTTCTGCATTCTTTTGAACCTGGCTCCGCTACTGATCAGAAGATTTGATTTCTTCCTCACACCATCTCCTCTATTTCACCCTCACCTCGGACCCCCAACTCATCATTTCCCATCTAGCTTCCACTCGACGACCTGACCTGGACTGACGCGCGATGTCTCTAATCGGTCTTCTCAGTGTATGTCCAATCCAATTTAATCTATCCCCATTTTCTTCTACATATTTGTTAGGTGATGGGTTCTTGGTTGGTTCGTTGCGGGGCCAGCCAGATTTTCTTGTTGCTTATTCTTATTATTCTGGCCATCTGATCGGTCTCCAGTATCAAGTGAACGTAGGCGGCAGCTGCTCATGTATGTCTGCAGTTTGTTGGAAATGCTTTTCGTGACGCGCCAAATTTCTGAAGTGAACAATAGCTATGTTAACCAAGATATCGCCCTGTCTATTTAGGCTTCATTTAGAATATATGTATAGTAATTAACTATATTATTTTAAACGAGTAGTTCATTAGAAATCAACTCTTGTTATATTGATCATCTCTGCTTCAGATTCATGCAAATTGTCGACTACGTCGTGTATACTTTTGTGACCGAATATATTCTGAAGATGAATTACCTAAAGACTATAAATTATATTTGCCTATCCATCCAACATCTTCTAGTCGTACACATCATCGGCAATCGACAGTTTCAACTGGGACAAGTTCATCAAATCATTGAAGTGCTTATTTTTTTTCTGTTAAAAAGTTTATTTTCGATAATATATATATATATATATTATATATATATATATATATATATATATATATATACATCCATTTATTTGATCATCATATCAGTTGAAGGACTGGTTTACTTTTTTTTCTCCAGAGATTTCAAGTGTACATGATACACATGTATACATCACTTAATGTTTACATTGTACACTTTATGTTCATTTGTTCAATTTATGTTTTACATTTGTTTCTCTCATTTTCTATGCCAATATAACTTTCACTATTCACCTGAGAAGTTCATTACTTCTTTCAATGCATTTTTAGAAATATAACGTAATTATGTAATTTAAGCAAACGCACATTATTCAATATTTCAAGAAATTTATTTAAATCGTACTTATTTTCAATAATATATCTATCTTTCAGGTATTGATAATAAAGAACGTACTAAAATGCCTCGGTTTTTTTGTTTTCTGAGTGGAGATTACTACTAAAATTGTTAATTTTCATTGTTCAATGTTCGATAGTATTGAAAATTGAATTTATTTAAGAAGCAGCTTTGTAAAGATGAACAATACATTATCATAAGAAAACATACACTGACTGATCGCTGTCAATGATATAATATTAATTTGTATTGCATGGTTTTTGGCAAAACAGCCTAACATTGATGAAAAACGAGAAAGATTTTAGCGAATAAATTTGTTTTCGGCGATATCATTTTCTTAGAATGTGCATAATTAATCGTAAAAAATGTAATGGTGGCTCTTTAAATAGTAATTCTTAGTAGGTTGTAGTCGGAAAAACAATATACTAGTGGTAGTTTCGTGAGAAGCATGCAAATATTTGACGGTATGACTAAGTAAGTTTGAGTTGAAATCAAGAATCGGGGAATTCATAGAGAAGGAAGCAGCAAGTTTTGTTACTGACCACAGATATACGAAATTTATAACTAAGCTAACAACAAAAATAGAAAAGAAGGTTAAATGCGATTAACAACTAGTATTATTAGTTATCTTTTGAGTTCCTAGAGGAACATAAAGCTTCAGTTGCACGTCTCCATTTCACTCTCTTCTCTACAATCTTCTCTTTCAATCTGGCTCCACGACTGCTCACAAGCTCTCATTTCTTCCTCACACCATCTCCATGTCACCCTCACCTCAGAAGACCAACTTGTCATTTCCCATCAATCTTCCACTCGAGTGCCTGACGCGTGATGTCACCGAATGGTCTTCCAAGTGCATGCCCAATTCATCTCCACTTCCTTCCAGTGCATATTCAGTGAGCGAAAGGTTCTTGGTTGGTTCTTTGCCAGCCAGAGTTCATTGTTGCTTATTCTTATTATTCTGTCCATCTGATCTTCAATAATGAGCATAGGCAGTTGTTGATGAATATCTGTAGTTTCTTGGAAATCCCTTTTATAAGGCGCAAAGTCTCTCAATCATACAGAAGCACTGACTTGACGTTGGTGTTGGAAATCCGGATGTTGTTCACGCTTTATGCTGAGTGCAGTGCATGAGATCTCCACACTGGTTTCAGGTTAATGAAAGCCTGTCTCGCTGTCTTTCCAATCCTGTCTGGCTTCAACGTCCTCATCTGTGCCTGTGTCGCTTGTATCTGAAACGATGATGCCTAGATAGGTGAAGGAGGCTACTTTCTTTAAGTTTCTCCCGTTGATGGTGATTGGAGCTTGTTGTTGCTGTTGTTCTTGATTGAGTATCTTCATCACCCTGTCTTCTCTACGTTCACTTGAAGTCCCATCTTCGCTGCCTCACCTCTTCTGTCAACTTGTTGTATTTTGCCTGTAGATCTTCAAGTTTGTGTGACATTAGACATAAATCGTCGGCGAAATCCAAATCTTCTGCGTTCTTTTACACGGTCCAGCTTATCCCCCTTTTCTCGCTGCTCACTTTTTGTTGCATGATCCAGTTGACCACAATCGGGAACATCATAGGTGATAGTGGAAAGCCTTGCTTTACTCCTGTCTTCACTTCAAAAGCATCACTGAGCTTTCCATTGTCAATCACTTGGCATGTAGCGTCTTCATATAGTTGTTGAATGAGGTTGATAAAGGATTGTGGTATTCCGTAGTGTCAAAGCAATCGCTTGCCAAATTACTTTTCTATCCACTGTTCACCGGTCAATACATTTAACTTATTCCACGCATATTTTTGTAGTTTTAAATAACTGAAGATGATTCGAGTAAAAAGATATCCAGGTTTTAAACAGGTGACTATTTCTTGTTAATGTACAACAGAAACACTATCTGAAGTAATATTTCAGTTCTTCTCAGCAATCAAAACGTGCTCGCCACGGAACCCTGTTTTTCATGGGCCACCGCTGGTGTGGTCAAGGTTCGAAAATTGATCGAAAATTCACTTTTTTGATATAGAGCTAACAAGAACAGCATCTGGGTCCCTATGAGTCGTAAGCGAACTCTGATAATATCTCTTGTCACTCTCATTAGACTAGTCTGCAGTCCTGACGTGTTAGGAGAGGAAATTTCTGTTCTAAGTAACATCCTGATAGAGAACGGATTCCAACCCAGCTTCATGGATAAAAACTTCAAACCTGAACCTCTCAAAGAGAACCTTACCACAATGCCATATCAAGTCCTTACACTAGAAAAATGTATAAATTTGTATTGATTGGTCATAGGACATCAGTTACATTGAGGTTGCAGATGCGCCTTACTGATGAGTGCCAACAAGCACGAAACCTAGGTCTAGGGTTTCCTACCGATTGCCGCCAACCAACTAACATGTACAGATTTGCTATTGTATACAATTTTGAAAATAAAATTGCTGAAAGAGACTCTTTGCTGAAATATACTTGTTCTTCTTTCAGACATGTATACTTGTCATTTATACTTTGTAAACTGTTTTTTCAGCAAAGCAATTTCAGTTTAATACAGTATTCAGATATAAGTGTTGTTGCTTGTATCATCCCATCGTTGATTGGACCGAATTGACCGATCTCTATTGGCTTTTACCCGAATGCCTTGAATAAAAGATGAATATTCCATCCTACTTGTAATTCATGGTGATTACCTCAAATGTATTCTCTTTAAAATCACCTATTTTACAAAATGTGAAATAATTAACTGAACATTTGAATAAGTCACTTAAATTAGCACAAAGAATGATAGTAAAAGAAATAACTGAGAAGAAGATTTGTCTATTTCTCAAAGAAAGCAGAGAATTTTCAGAAAACAGTTGTCAGTATCTTTAGTTTACATGAAAAGTAACTATCACATTACTTATCGAAGAATTGTACTACTTTTCAGCCCTGGTAAGTAGTGAAATTATGATGAAACATGGATAGTAAGAAACATATGATGGAGATTCCTTTCTGTTCTTTCTAGGAGAACGTTTATTGATAATTACTAAGAAACAGAGAGTAGTGTATGTCTTAGATCTAGTAAGATGTAAAATCATCAAATTCCTTGGGTCTTTCAGACCACTGATTCAACATTGACCTGTTTCGACCTAAACAACAAGATGTTATCATAAGCCGTCACACAATAAATTTCTGTCATGGCTTAGTCAGATAGATAGAAAGGCAGACCAAATCAAAGTAGAATCTCGCAAACAAGTGAGTCTGTTCAAGTTACTACACTTCACATTTGCATACAAAGAACAAGTAGATGGAAAAAGACTGATATCGAAGTAGAAAAAGGTGTATGAGGGGAGATCGAATTTGAAAATGAAGGCTAGTCTAAATATTCAAGCTTTAGAAAGGGTCAACGAATGGATACATCTAGGCTATTGTGACCAATTTTCAGCGATGTCACCAAGAGTCCTCCACCACTGGTTCCCATCGTCTTGGGGATCCCAACCAGTCAGTCTACTCCTTCCTAATTGAATCAAATCAAGAGTCGAGAACTACATCGACTGTTGCAACGTCTTGGTCTGGCCTTCTTGAACCCTGTTCTAACCTAAGCCAACTTCTCCTAGCAGTGCATATCGAGGTAGGCAGCGCTTCGGTATGCACAGCTGGTGTCAAAGACATCTCAGTCGACTAAGGTTCACAACCTCAACGGCTAACTTGCTTATCTTGTCTGGTACCCTTCACCAGACCTCGACATCACGAAATCACTCTGTTGTTTAAACATATGCCATAGGAAAATATGTACTTGCCTATCAAGAGTAAGGTGTAAAGCAGAGAAATGAATTATTCCTAGTGTGTGCAATTTGAAATCTCTGACTAACGGTTTCAGTTGGAGATTAAACTGAAAATCCAAGTAGCGTGAAATGATCTAAGCATTTACACAGATGTCTCTCTACTGCACGTTTCAACCTAGAGACGAAACCCATTGTAGGTGAAATAAGAAGTTACTTTCGACAAACAAGTGGCCGAATCATGTGTAGAAAGAGTGCTGACTGCTAAACTCTTCCCAGTAGAATACAGGTTATGAACCTTTAACGACGGAGGTGTCTTGGACATCGATTGTGCACAGAGAAGTATCGCATATGTTGACGTGCAAATCTAGGGGAGTTGGACTGAGTTACAGGAAGGCTTATGCTGGCCAAACAAGGATGTGGTACCAGTTCACGAAGTTTCTGTTCGAGCCATGTAGAGAGGTGCAGATTGCTTGACTGATATCCACGAATATATGTTTATCTTTCATCAACTCAATCCTGAAGTTGAACTCCAGTCAAAAATTTAGAAGTTTGAGAAATTGAAGTTCACTTTTCTCATATATCATTTTGATTAACTCAGGTAGCTGTGGTTTGGCAGACTAGTATAGTTAGTAGATGATGATTGAAGGTGTAATGAAAATCTGTGCTGTCACGGGATTCGAACCAGCTGGTGTGAGTACGATCAAGTGGTGGTAACGCATCATGACTTCAAATGGTAGTCGGGAAAAATGCTAATTGTAAATAAAGTGAAATAACAAACCTGATCAGCGGGTGGCCGGAAATCCAATGGTCACTGGTTCGAATCCCAAAGCGACCCAAACTCTCCTACATATTCAAGAAAGGGACTTATGAAGTTTAAACAATAAAACTCAAACAACTCAGTAAATATCATTACAATTTC